ATTTAATTGGAACAATGTTGCATGAGTATATTATCATTATTTTTTTCCAAAAAAAAAAAAAAAATTGTATAGAAATTATTTATTTATCAATCTTTTTGATTAGATTGACGCATATTGAATGTGGTCCACATGATGCTGCATTTTATAAACTCCTTGACGAGTTAAATGATGAATATGATGATTTAATGATTAAAGGATTTGGATTTCTTAATGATGGATACCAACTTGGTCAAGGAGTATCACATAATGTTTCGCCAGCTTTAGCTCAACAAAGGGCATTGGAAGCAGCTGAAAAGAGACGAAAGATTGAAGGAATCATGACAAAAGGCGGAATAAGGTTGGGTGGCGGAGATAGATCTGGATTATCATTAAGAGAATTGGCTGCTTTGGCAGCTGAACGAAGAAGAAGAGATAACCTTTGGTGTGGAAATGACATAAAAAATGGAATAAAACATAACAATAATAACCTAGGAGCTAACAATGGAACGAGTTCTGTGATAAGGAATCCACGATCAACATCTGTTGTAAAAATCCCACCAAATAAACTTCCGGGATTATTATGGACTTGTTCACTATGCACATTTGTAAATCGTCCAATGGCCTTGCAATGTGATGTCTGCTTAGCTGTGAGATTACACACAAACGAGTCAGAACCCGTAATTATTGTTGATAATGATGATAACTTTTCTAGCTCTTTGTTTTGGACTTGTCCTGGATGTTCGTTGGTAAATGCTCCCGATATCGTAATGTGTTTAGGATGTGATTACTTGAAAGATTAAAGGATTCTTTATACCATATATTCATAATGCGGAAAGTAATTGTTTCCTAAAAAAAAAATACGCGTTTTTTCGCGATTTGTGTTAGTTTGATTTATTAGACTTGTATTACAATTTTGTTTAGCGATCGCAGATAGGTTAGAGTTGTTAAAAAACATTTTTTTATATATATATACTGTAATATTTATTTGTTTTAAAATATTTGTCGGAGTTTTCAAAATTGTTCTGCATAAATGACACTACGAAGAGAATAATGTTGAAAAAACTGTTTAAAACAAATAGAAATTTTTTTTTGGTCAGATTGATTCAATAAATTTTTGTTTGTATATGGCTAAACACTTTGTATAGGGAATTTTGAAAATCGTCGTATGGTTAAGTTCGGTAAGTTCAATAATGCCGGCCAAAGCATCATGTGTTACTGGTTCAATTCCTGAGTAAAATTCGCCCATCATGATCAGTACATAATAAGAAACTCTCCTAAAAACATCAGCAAAAAAGCTTGAATATGTGATTCTTAATTTTAAATTATCTCTAATTAATTAAAGATGACATTTGATTATGGTTAAGCCTAATTTTTGACTATTAGCTGATTTAGCTAATTGGTTAAATTCAATTATATTTAATTGTGTTTAATAATCAAAAAATAGCCAAATAGTCTAAATGGTTAAATGTTACATAATTTTATTATTCCTTTAATGACAGTAATGGCAAGTGATCCAAATAATCTCAAATAACTAATCATGTATCCTTTGAGTCATTTCAACATTAAATGATAAATGACTTGATTATTTAAAAATTATATTATATGATTTTAATAATTCTAGTCAAAATAATTAATATAATTTAATGTTTCAAACAATTTCATAAATATTTCACATAATATAAATTTGTAATTCTAACTAATATATAAAATTTGACCTACATTATATTTAAATGATCAAATAACAAATGATCTTAAATGATCAGATCATTCAAAGTTAAAGCTCTGAATCAGGTCAGGTCAATCTGTTTATCTGACTTGAACTGACCTAAAAATTCAGGTTATGTCAATAGATTTTCAGGTTGATATCAGATCAGATCAACAGATTGACCTGACCTGACCCAACCTGATAAAAATTCAGGTCAACCAATCATTCTTCTTAAATAATTTATTATCGTTAAATTAAAAATAATAAAGTTGATTAAATAAATTAAAAATTGTTTATTATATTATTTATATTAAATATTTTTTTTTTATTTTTAAAGTGCGGTAGTTCCACATAATCTTTATTATAATAAAAGTATGATATAAAGTAAAATACAAATCAAAAAGAAAAAGTAAAAATCTCATACAGAAAAGTAAAACTAGACTATAGAAGACTGACCCTGCACTCTCCCAGATCAATTCTAACCTAAGCTAAAACTATCACTTCTGAGTATTTAACCGAAAAAAGGAGAGGGCTTGGCCACTACTGCACTAAAAATTCGTCCAGTGGGATCTTAGTTGCACTATGATATTTATTAGATCAACGTTATTGTTGTTAGTAAGAATGTCACGAGGAAGATCAAAACCTGAAGAGGTGAAATTGTTCTTTTTATTTTAAAGGTTAATGTTGGCAGCTTTCTCGATAGCGGATTGACGAGTATACCTTTCAATCCAAAAACATTGTGATTTTTCATAAATGAAGTGCATGAGGGATGAATACGCAGCTAAAGCTGTAGGTATGTGTGAAAGGTTGTTGTGAATAAATTCAAAGAGAGTAGTAGGAGCAATACCTTTAATGAGAATCACAAAGGAAAAGGATGTTGAGAGGTTCCACCAATTAAGATTATCAATATCGTTCGAATGTGCATTGGTAATGACTTTAAGGTATTCTTTAACTCGTTAGATAAGCAGTTTCATTTGATAGTTGACCATTGGGCAGATCTATATATGGAAGAAGTCCTCATCTGCAGCCTCATATTGGAGACACAGGGCTGAAGGTGAGAATAAGGACGGATGTCTGAGTTTTAGAATTTCAACTGTAAGAAGCATTTCTAGCAACCGTTGAAATTTTTTCATTCTTGTACTAGAGGCTATATATGATGTGTTATTGGTAGCGACATTATCATTGAGGCAGAAAGAGGTAATAAACTAATTAATTTTGAAAAAAAGTGATATTTGTTGACTACGTGCAAGGATAAAATTTGCTGAAGATGCTTGTATCAGAAGATGTCTTTTACAAATTGTCTAACAGGAAGAAGTATAAGCTGGTTGTTATAATTAAAGAAGCTGTGTAGAATAACCATCGTATTAAGGTGTAAGACAGGAAGAGTGAAAGTGTCTTTTACCATAGCGTCTACCTTGTTGTTTAAAAGATTGTTTGAGTATGCTTTGACTTTTATTAAATAGACATCAAGGTTGTGCACAGAGATCACTTCGAAAAGACAAGACCAATGCACAAAATTGTTGATTTTCAAAAAAGGTCTGAAGGTGGGAGACTGTTTCTTGAGGAAACTAAATTTGTTGAACTGTGATATGATAACAGCTGAGTCAGTATAGACTCTGACTTTGCAATTTGGAGGAGCAGTCAGAAGTGCTATAAAAAGAACTGCAAATTCAGATATTAACGATGACGAAAAACTGAAGACCAAAGTGATACTAAAGGAAGCCATAGGTGAATTTTGGTGAGATTATAACCAAGCAATCTCCATTTTGATTGAAGGGAGACCGACATTTTTAAGAGATCCGTCAGTGTAAAATTTTAACTCAGTAGCAGAAACAAAATTAGAGAAAAGTGTTAGTAGTTCTTCTTTATGGGAAGAAGGGATAAATCTATCTATACAAGAGCTATAAATAGGGAGAGGAACAGAGGGCGATACATTTAAGATGTGGGGTTGAAAGGACGTAACTGCACAAATCAAAGCTAGTTCATTCAGAGTACCAACAGATAGCGCTGTGGAACTGGAACTTTCATAATAAATATTGTGAAAGGCTACACAGTATATATGAGAGATACTGACTCAGCAGTATAATCTGTTTATTAGAGATGCATTCTGATTATGCAGGGAACAGCAGAGACATGTGATCAATTTGGTACTGTGATCAGTTGCTTTTTCAAAATTAAAATGTCTGAGGTGCAAAGTATTTTGATTGGTATGGGTGATACGTCCAATGACAAAACTATTGAGACTGAATATCTAACCTATAGTGTACAATCTATAATCAGGGGTAAGATGTTGTTGCTTCAGTATGTAGTCATACATTAAGTTGTGCGGGAATATTCTGGTAATGAATCTATCTGGTGATGGTTGTAAGTATTGTTCCATAGTAATAAACCATTTGGAGGTTCTAACGAACCTTGTATGTTGATGCGTAATGTGAATGAGATCTTTGTAAGAGAATATGTAATTACCAGCACAATTGACTAACTGTTCAGCATAAAGAACTGAGCATTTTTTGAGATCTTGGACGTGATTTCTATATATAGACGCGATGAGATCTGAAATCGGGGTGGTACCTCCAGATACCAGATTATTTGAGCTTAACAGAACGCTAAGATTAATGTTCAGTTTGTTAAGGGTATTAAGCAGAACCATGAGCCAGTCATCTTTAGACCTTTGGGTATTGTATAGCCAATGTATCAGAGGATTGATATACAACCATTTCCTGGTTTGCAATTGTCTGACACGAATTTTGAATGTGAGGCCTAATAAGTTGGGTTCATTGGCTATCTGCAGAAGAGCACTGCTAAGATTTTGAATAAGTTTCTGGTGTACAAAGGTAATGTTGTAAAATAGTGTGACAGAAAAAGTGATGACGGCATTTTCTGTGAAAGGTGCAATTTAGAGCGGAGGAAAGCTACGTATGAGGCCATGATTCGAACACAATGTTTTTCTGAAAGGAGTGTAAGTTGCGACTTATATTCTATGCGTGAGAGAATAACCATATTAAATATATATGTAAGTTGAGTGTCCATTAATTTTTTTTTTCGCATTATGGTAATTGCAGATTTGATTTCTTCATGAATTTGGTTGGTAATAAATGTTCTATTATCTGCCAGCAAGATTCAGACTCCGAGATACCTGACACTTTCATTGGGTTTACGTGCAATGATATGATAGATGCCGTTGGGATTAGTAATGGTGAAGGATTCGAGCTGGGTCTTATTCACCAGGAGTTCTGACTTAGGCCAATTAACCTGGATGTTATTAAAGGAATAGAAACTGGAAGCAATTCTAATAATTGATGATAGATCGTCAGCAGACTTAGCAATCCATAGAGTATCATCCATAAAGATTAAAGCTAGAATCATTGTTAAAAGGCATTGCGTAGTGGGTAGACGGGTATCAGGTTACCAACGGCAACTCATTTTGTATCTGTGAGGCAATTCCTGGATTCTACAGAGCAGTGGGTCGTAGTAAATGCACCACAACAGGGGTGAAATGACTTCTCCTTGATCGATGCTAGAAAAAACAATGTAAGGATCGGTATTGCCATAAGCAGTGAAGATTCTGTTAAGTCTAGGGATAAATAATTTCATAATGATGTTGATGTAGCCAAATGGAATTCAGAGCCTTTCCATTACTTTGACCAATATAAAGACGTGACGCGGTCGTATACATTAGACATATCTTGTAGGAGGACCTAGAGTTCAGATTTATTTGTGATAGCATCATGTTTTATGTTGTCTATGATATGTATAGAATCAAAAGTGGATTTAAAAGGCAGTTCAGCAAAGTTTGATCCTTTCAAGATGTTATGTTATACAAATACTGATGCAAGTCTGGTATTAAGTAGTTTAATAAAGGCTATTCGCGGGCATTCCAGGAGTGTGATCAGTTGGGTGTTATTAAGGTCAAATTCCCAGGGTTTAGGTTTAGGAATCAGATAGACATAGGCAAAGTTCCATCTCGTGGGAACTGAAGAAATCTGAAGGCAGCCACAAATAATTAACCAAAGGTATTTTCAACTATGTAGACCCAAATGCTTAAGTATTTCATTGGATATAGAAAAAGGGCCTGTAGCTTTGTCATTGGGCAGA